ACCTTGTGGCTGCCTATAAGTTCATCACGGGGGCGCAGAAGGGAATTGGTGAGGTTTTATTCACCAAGGCGCCCCTGGGGGTTACAAGAAATAATGGCCACAAGCTAGCAGAGAGCAGATTTAGACTAGACATTAGGAAGAACTTCTTCACCGTTAGAGTGGCCAAGGTCTGGAATGGGCTCCCAAGGGAGGTGGTGCTCTCCCCTACCCTGGGGGTCTTCAAGAGGAGGTTAGATAAGCATCTAGCCGGGGTCATCTGAACCCAGCTCTCTTTCCTGCCTATGCAGGAGGTCGGACTCGATGATCTATTGAGGTTTCTTCTGACCCTAGCATCTATGAATCTATGAATATGAAAAATCCCATTGTTTTCAATATCAAAGAAACAGCATAAGCTTATTTAATTGTGCCTGCTAATTCTTAAGGGAACAATCCATTCTAAGCTGTTCGCACCTCATTAATGCTCATTAAGCTGTTACAAAGAACATGCTCTGAGCCTATGGCCAGCTGTTGGAATCACATTAAAGACGCATTGTTGCTCAGAACAACTTGCCTCTTAAAGTAGCCTTGAAATTGCCAGGACATAGTCTGTTTGAGGGTTGCTACTATCATAGAACTGACAACAGTGAAAATATGTCACAGGGGTGCACAGTCTACAGTCCAGGGCCAAATCTGACCGACAAAGCCATTTTATCTGGCTTTTGGAGCCAAGCTAGAGGGAGGGAGTATGCTTGGTGGCATTTCTGTGGTGGAGGGATTTGCCCCAGTGGTAGGGAGAAGCAGCAGCGGCTGCACTGTACAGGGAATGGTGAGTCCAGCTCTAGGTCTGGTCCTAGCTTTAGCTCTCGTTCCAGTTGTGGCATGGGCCAGGTTGGAAGCTATCCATGCATGGAGCTAGGCTCCATTAAAGCAGTCACCACTACAAAAGGTCATCAGCCCATGAGCTAGAAGGATTACCTGTCTGTCTTGCATAGGCAGAGATAGAACAAATTCTTTGGTGTGGGGGCTGAGTGCATGTGCACATGCGCGCACATGCCCACCCAGCAGGTAATTCTGTGAAGGAAGGAGTGGGGGGGAGGGGGAAGGGCTATGGCGGGGAAGCAGGCCACAGGCAGGACCCACTTGCCTCAGCCCCTGTTCCTGCCTGTGCCCCTCTCCCTCCCTCACTGCTGGGGCCTCGATCTGCCCCCTCTCTCCCCGGTGGTGAGGGAGGGAATGGAGCAGGGGTGGGCCCTGCACAGCCGGGGTGGGGAGCAGGACAGAGCTGCGAGAAGCTCATCCGGGGGACACCTGGCGCAGGGAGGGGATGGTGGCTCCTGCCGCTGCATGCACCCCAGGAGGGCATGGGGGCTGTGTACCCCGGATCTGTGCATGGGGTGAGGGTGTGCTGTGGCCAGGCTCTTCCCAGCAGGGGGCTGGGCTGAGCTGTGCTTGGAGCAGATGCTGGATTAGCAGCAGTGCTCGGGGGGCGGGGCCTACGGCAAATTTTGAGGTAGCTGCAGCCCCTCCGTAACTCCCCTTCCCAGCACTGTTGCTGCCCACCCCCAAGCACAGCCTGGCCCAGCCCCCCCTGCTGGGAAGAGCCCAATGCAGCCCCAGAAGCCTGCAGTGGCAGCCCACTCCATCTTGTGCAGATCTGGGAGTACACAGGTGCCTCCCAGGGTGCGGGTAGCAGCAGAAGCCATCCCCCTGATGAGCCGCTTGCAGCTCAGTCATGCCCTGTACCCCAGCTGTGCAGCGCCTGCCCCAGCCCCACTCCCTCCTTTACCACTGCGCAGACGTCCCTCCCCACCCCTGCTGCAGCTGCTGGAAGTCTACAGCTGGGCTGCCTTGTGGCCTTACTGCAAAATTCCCACTGATTTCAACTGGAGAAGACTTAGGCTCCATCACTGTAAGAATCCCAATATTATGCAGTTTCCAGTTCAAAATGAACTTGAAAAAGCAATTTGTCTCCAAATATAACAAAAAACAGTTGCTAAAGGAATTGTATTAGCAAATTTCTAAGCAAGTGCAAATTAACTTGGTTATTGCTCAGTCTAGACAAGATTTCTAGATTATGATAAAGTTTTGTGTTTACCTTCTGATTTGACTCTGGCACTAAACATGAGATATCTCTGTGGCGATCTAGGAATCGTTCAAAATCTTCATCACTGATAACAAATTTCTCTGCTTCTCTCAGAGCATTTTCCCCTACGTTCTCCCCGTCAATGAGCAGACACTGGAATACCTGAAATACAGGGTATATCTGATGATATATTTATTTATCATTATTGCCATGGAGGTAAGGACATGATTGACACGGTTGCTAAAGGAGAAAACCAGCTGTATCATCAGTGAAGACAGTGGAGTCATACCACAGAGCATAAAACAAGCATAAATAAGAGAAAATGACCGTGAAATTCTGACACCAAAGTCAGTGACAGACTACCATCTGTTTGAGTGAAGCTAAAATTTTGCTCATAATTTTCTTTCAAATAAAGAGCTGATACTCAACTTACACCAGTTTAATTCTGGTGTAATATATTTCTTTCAAGGCAAGTACAATTGTGTAACAATAGTGTAATGGAGAAGAGAATCAGGTCTTGCTTTTTTCTCCTAAGATCTGCCTGCTGTTGAAAGTGTTTCATGAGCTTTTGCCCATTTAGAAGCATGTTATCTTTACATGCTTTTTTTTTTTTTTTTTTAAAGGTAGTTATTAGTATATTTTAATGGAAAATACATGCTATAATTACTACAGTGTGCTGAGTCTTCTTCGGGCTTTTTCACATTAATAGTATGGTACTTGTATGTTTTAGCTGTAAAAAGGCATTGTTTTTCCAATTCTTTTCTATCATAAACAACTAGATCAATGTATCAAGAAATAACATATCCTTCTAAATATAATAAAGAAACAATTTTTTGGGAGTGCTTCAACCTGTCTAGAAATTCATTGCACAAGAAAGGCTCTAATTTATGAAAATGGAAAATATGCAAAAGGAAGATCATGCAAATGGAAGTGGTTCTAACTAATGCAACTGGAAGATCTGTCCATCATTTTCCCAAACTGTTCCTTATCCTCTGGAAAGGGAACACATGATCCTGTATTTCTGACTTACCTTCCAACGAACAGGGTTCAGTGCTTTAATCTGCTCATTCATGTCTTCTTCCACATTAAATCTATTAATCACTGAATTTAATTTAAAAGCCACGCCATATTCTTGACACCATTTTCTCAATTTTTGCAGATTTTCAACATGTTTTTTTTTCCCTTGCCCACGGCCAATTAAAGCATTGACTTCCTCATGAAAACTATCACAAGAAATTGCCAGAATGTCTAGATATTCACCTGAAAAAAGAAAACATTTAATTAAGAAAAACTAATATCAATGTTTTCTAGTATGCAGCATTTATCATCCAGCACTTTCCCTTTTCACCTTCAAGTACACCTTCAAAATCTATCATGATACCCTACCAAACAGGACTGTAGGAATAGACTGTATTTCAAGTGGCATGACACACCCTTCTTTATATAGTCAGTGGGTGCATCTATACATGCTATTAAGATGAAGCAATAAACTCTGCAATAAACTCTGGCTCACACTGCACTGGAGTTTGTTGCTCCCAGGTGCCACATTTACACATGTGCCAGAGACTGCAGCATGTTGAACCAGAGGGAAGAGGGTCCAGGGAATCAGCCTGCCAGCCCGGGGCCACTTCAACCAAGCTCAATGTGCTGCAGAGGGGCTGGCTGGGGTACAAGGGTGTTCTAGCTTGGGCTAGCTAGCAGGCAGCCCCCACACTGAAGCACCCTCATGCTCCAGCCAGCCAAGGCAGTATCTACACATGTGATGCTGTGGAATAAAAAACTCAGTAGCAGGATAGTACTTGTATTTACAGGCAGCATGTGTAGACACCAAGAGGTTTACTGTGGAGCTAATTAGTCTACTCCACAGTAAATATCTCATGTAGACATGCCCTCTGTTTGGTAATGAGTTAAGGTAGTCTAATCACATTTGATTTAAAAATGCACATAAGAAACCTTATATGCATACCTCTACCTTATATACTTCTACTTTCGAAGTATTTTATATGGTTCTTGATTTTATTCACCATAAATGTATTATTAATAAACTATCCCCAAATAATTATTTTAATAAGCAACTTGGTGAGAAGCTGAAGTGAGAAGAGTCCTAAAACTTGTGTATTTTTTCAAATGTGTACTTTGTTTTTTCTTACCATAATTCTTGAACCATCTTTCTCTAATCAAGCTGCCATTGCTCACAATGCTGACACTTGGTAACTTTAATTCTTGCTTGCAAAACTGGACCAATTTGCCTACAAATTCTCCTCTATCAGTCAGAAATGGTTCTCCTCCTGAAAAATTAATTTTCTCCATACCTAGTATATGAGAAAAAAGAAAAAGAGACTGTTTAGCTCAGATACATTAAAGTTTGGCAAACTTTTTCTCACAGCATCCTGCACAGAACAGATAATGATGACTGACTCAAGTAAATGTGATACTACTGCTCAATCACAATTCACAAGGCAGGATCTCATAGTCTTTTTTGCAAGTCAACCTCCTCTGAAGTAAATGAACCAATTTAAAAACTTGCTGATGGAAACCCATTTTTTCTAGCAGAAAATTTGCTTTAGTTTGTAAACATATAAAATTTCCATGGACTACAATGGGACCCCAACTCTCTCTCACTACAGAAAATATCTTAGACGATACTACCTAATGTAACTAATTAAAAGTCCAGGATTTGCAAATCAGGGTCAGCAGCATCAGTCCCTCAAGTCTTTCAGGAAACAGAAAAATGCCAAAATCTATGCCTAGCCTCTTGTATTTGGCTACCAAGATTTTTAAAACATGACCTAGCCTTGAAAATTTGGAACAGCAATTTACTCTTTACTGTAAACCACATCTTTCACATGTCAAATTTGTCTTTTTATTTTTAAAAATAGCTCCAGCTGCTATTGCAATCTGTGTATGCCAGGGGTCATCTATGCACTAGGGCTGGCAAGGCTTCGGACTGTGCTTCAGATCCGGAGAAGTTTTGGACGTTTTGGATACCAAAGCAGCATGTCCAGATTGAAGCACTGGCTTCTTTAGGCTTTCTGAAGCAGTTTGGAGCTTCCGAACCGCTTCGGAAAAGCTTTGGAGCCACTTCAGAGATCCAGCCATAGGGTATAATGGGGAATCAATGAAATATCTATAAGTTTGTTGTCTTTTGCCTGATTTGGATGAAACTTGCAGGAGTGGTAGCCTCTGCAGAAAGCATGATGTCTGCCAAGTTTCAAGAAGATTGGTGCCGGGGTTTGGAGGGAACTGCACCCCAAATTCTTGAAAGCAAAACTCATGTCACGTATATGTGTTACACCACAGCGGGGTGACACTGCAGGGGTGGTGGCTCCTGTTGAGGACACAAAGCCTGCCAAGTTTCAAGGAGATAAGTGCAGGGGTTTGGGGGAAACTGCACCTCAAGCTAAAGACAAGGAAAACTCATGACATGGGTGACAGTGTGTGTGTTAAGGCACAGCAGGGTGAAAGCTGCAGGCCTGATAGCCCCTGCTGTGGCCATGAAGCCTGCCAGCTGTCAAGGAGATAGGTACAGGGGTTCTGGGGCCCTGCAGCTCTAGCTGCTGACAGGTAAAACTTGGGACATTTCTTGAAACTTGGCAGGCTTCATGCTCTCAGCAGAGGCTACCACCCCTGCAAGTTTCATCCAAATC